TTCAAGTAAGGAAACATGGCACGTAAACACTTCACAAGCACATAGAACAGTCACCACTGAAACAAAGCTTAAATGTCCGCCTCAAGTAGAACTTCAGCCTCACTTCCAGGCCCTAGAATCAAGTATATAAAGTGCAATAAGATCCACTAGTCTAAGCCACAATATTTAAAGGAAATTGCTTCCAAGCCAACTAACTAATTTCACCCCAAATCACATGATTCTAGTTTAATTTAAGGGAATCATCCATGTATATGTTAAGTCAATGATTTAAGCAAATGGCAATGCAAAAGTTCTTATTTTCCTCCACTAATGTGAGCTTAAACTGTCCAAAATAGTTTGGTTGCTAGGCTGGAAATTCAATGCTTAAAACAAGGAAAAGTGAGATTTTCACCTCTTAAAACCTATCATTTTTTACTCAATCCACCACTCATACTAGGGTTAATGTCTAATCAAGTGTTTAGGGCATTAACAAGATGATTTCACCACATAAAACCAAGAGTAAAACTAAACAAAATCACTCTCTCCATCAACCAGCTTTAAACAAAATTTCCAGCCATGAAAATAGTGAAAGAAATGGAGTTTAAACCATTTAAAGGTCATGATTTTGGTTCAAATCCAACACACACTTGTAGTTTAAAGTCTCATAGAGTGTTTGAGCAAAAATTGAGCTTAAAATCATCATGAAATTGTGGAAATCAAGGCTGAACTTCCAGCCCCTATTTTCGGCCAGCAAGCAACAAAATTTCCAATTTTTTTCCAAACATTCCTCTAGCAATTTCTCAAATTTTCAACCAAACCTACCTAGCAAATCCATAAAGTTTTAGCACCCACATAACAAAAGATATCTATAGCCAAAATCTTGACAAGAAAACCACCATAAATGCATATAACATCCAAACCCTAAGAACTCAAGCATCATGTTCAAAAATCATCAACTTAGCAAACTTCCAAGATGTACTACAAGATTCACCCAAGATTCACTTATCTTACGCATAAGACAAGAAAAGGTATTTTACCTCTTTTACTTTCCAAACCAAGATGAAACTCAACCCACAATCTACCAAATCTTCTTCCCTTCCAAGCTTAAGCCAAGGTTGATGAAAAACCCAAGATCTCTCCTTCCTTTTCCCACAAAATCTAAGCACGATTGAAGCTAGATTGAATGAAGTTTTTTTTCTTCCCCTTTTCCTCCCTAATTTCGGCCCTCTCTCTCTCTTTCTCTTTGTGTTTGATTTTGGAAGACAAGAAATGGAAAATGGTAAGAAAAGCTTGGTCAATGAAGTCTTAAAGAGATAAACTTGGTTCCTATTGTGCCACATGTCTAATTCTCTTAGTTTCTTGCTTCAAATATCTCAATTCTCTCTTATTGCACTAAACTCCTTTTTTTGCACTACATTCCTCACACACCTCACTAAAAGTCGCTATCACCGCGCTCACTAACTCCCACATGCAATGATAAATAAAATCATGATGACTACACATCATTATCAAATCGTTTGACAAAGAAATAAATAGACAATCAAATAAGTTGTTAAGTAACTAAAATGCAATGTAGGTAAAACGTGTAGAACGTGTAAAAAAATTTTTTTGAGTCCTCACATTATTCCTATGAGTAGTCCTTGTTATTAATGACTTTCTAAATCTTTTCAAACCTTACAAATGTAAGTAAGAAGAGTCATCGTTCAAATGTATGTTTTCTTAAATGAAGTATTTTAGTATGCAATATTGGGTCTTGTGTGGGTCATTTTTATTATTGTTTCCTATTGTATGAAACATGAAGTGAATAATTTATTTTCAAATGTTAATGTATGAATTACATGACTGCGTGAATTGCTAATGGCTCGATTATGAACTTACCGGTGACAGCAAACCATAGTTCACCTTGGAAATTGGATAACTAAATAATTATGCATTGTGAACCTACCTAATTTCTTAGCAGCCCTCTTGTTGGGGTTTATATGTTAGGTTGAGTACTCCAATCCACTTAAGGCTTTTATCATTAATTGATTCATATATGTGAAAAATTATGTTTATTGTAAAGATTAAAGATTGGCTTATTTGGATTATTGAACCACTCACTTTCTAAAGAGATACGCTATGAGTAATATATTGTATGTGATTGTACGTGAACATACATGTTGTCGACAAATGACTCATTGATGAAAAAGTACATGTATATAGAGCATATTAGTCCAAAATGATAGCCGAGGATAGTTGCTAAGTCATTTGGTCCGATCACCCCATATTACTCATAGTTTTTGCAGATTTAGATGAGTACGAATTGGTTGAGAATAGTCCAACAAAGGATTGAGGTGAAAGAAAGATGCACGTCTTTGTAGTTATTGATGATTATTATTTAAAGAGTTATCTATATAGCGCCTTTTATAAGATGTAATAAACGTCCAATTTATGTCACTAGAACAAGTAATATTATACTTTTACTATGTATGCTTTACATTTTATGAACTTGCCACTTAACAGAAGCATAATGCTACTGGTCCTAGTGGCTTGAATTCGCCACTTATTACATCATATACAAGATGCTGCAAATAGATAAATCTCTAAATATTAATCATCAATAACTACTAAGGCATTCTTCCATCCTTCGTTCAGCTTAATCGTCACTTCGGCTATCCTCAATCAACCCGTACTCATCTAAATCTACAAAAACAATGAGTAACATGGGGTGAGCAAATAAAATAGCTCAAGTACCCACTACTATCTTTGTGGATCAATATGTGCAATTTACATATACTTTTTCATCAACATGTCATTTGACAATAGCATACATTCACATGCAATCAAATTCAATATATTATTTGTAGCACCTTTCTTTAAATATTGAGTGGTACATACTATAGAAAACAATAGCAAAAATGATCTACATAGGGTTCAATTTTGTGTACTAAAATACGTCAATTGAGAAACCATACATTTGCAAGACAACTCTTCTTGTGTACATTTATAAGTTTTGAAAACATTTAGAAAATCATCAACAACAGGAACACTTATAGAAGTAACTTTGAAACATGCTTTATTTGTATTAATCGTTGCATTCAAATATCATTTAGAAAAATTTAAAAAAAATATTAAAGACTACTCACCCCTCATCAAAATTCAATCTTTAAACTTTGATTTTCCTTTGAAATTGCAATAAACCCTATATTCATATAAATCATCCATCAATTACTACCATCAATAGTTTTAGAACTTAACTTAATTACCTTAGAGTAATTCCTATAATCTTCAGTTAATATGATATATGCAATAGGTTGACAAGCTTTTTCATCTTTGCACATTACTTAAAAATATCACTTTCAAGCAATATCAGAGGATGTAAAAATTGGAAAGCACCTTTACCTTACCCTTTGTTCGGTATGAAACGTCCCTTAGGAATCTCAAGCAATTTACACAAGGTTTTAGGGGTTCTTGACTTCAAAAGCATGGTTTAAGACGCAAGTAGAAAATTTGTAGACTAATATACCCTCAGTAAACCAACCATATATCTTGGGCTTGAAAACCACGTTTTCCAATCTAAATATATTGTTAGAAACTACATTCAAAATTCTAGAACTTTTGTGAAGAAACCATTCTCAAAATCCTTTAATCCATCGTTGATATTTGAGGTTGAAAGTCAATTCATTGTCAAAAATTGGCTGACAAATTGACCTTCTTTCAAAAATCACCTTAATTCATACAACCCTTGTTTGACTATTAATTTTTTTTCAAAAATACTAATCTCAGTCTAGTTTCATATAAAATAAACAGCATTTAATTAGTTGTTTCTATAATAAGTTATCAATTTCCAAATTCAGACTTATAATAAACTTTTACAAAAATTTCCAATAAATTGCAGCTTTTACAAACCTCTTTCCTTTTTCTTTAATTCACAATCTAACGTGTCTGCCACTACCCACCACCTTTATCACCAGCCGAGATAAGCAGCAGTGATCAGCAATTGCCCTCCCAAGCTTTTCCGGCAACCTTAGTCTAGTGAGTCACCATGGCAAGTTGGTCTTGCCAATTGGCAATGGTTTCCTTTTTCCCTTACATTTTCTACAATTTTTTTCCTATTCCTTTTCTACATGCAAAAACCAGTTCTTGTTTTAAAGAAAACATGCAATATTCCAGCCATAAATCAAATATGATACGTGCAATAACATCCATAATTCTTTCTAAGCAAGATCATAGGTTACCTGTGTCTATTCTTAAAGCAACTATACAATTAATTATTAAATCAAATTCTTAATTTGAAGAAATCACTACACTTCTAGGTTATGATCTCCTCTTCTTGCTCTACAACTAGACTTAGATGAATCTTCTATGCTTGACTTTTCCCTCCTTTTCTCTCTTTTGTTTATCATTTGGTAGTGAAGAAGAAATAATAGTGAGGGATTGTTCTTGCTTAGGGTATTTATGAGTATACATTGGGTGAATTTCCTTTGATTTTTCTAACATGGGACAAAGGATTTACCTATAACAAAAACCTTCTAGATTATTTAAACCCTATCCCATCATCTTTCCCTTTTTTTTCTGCTTCAAAAAATCCATAATTGCCTTCTTAGCTGACTTGGGCCTTAGTTTGGGCTACGGGCCCATTTTTTTAACAAAAAATTGTTTTAGCCCTAATGTCTTTTTTCTTTGATCGATAATCTGAGTCCAATTTAAACAAACAATTCGAATCTTAGATTAATTAAATATTAATAAAAATCAGGTCATAATAGAATCCATTTGAATGAAGATGGAAAGTTAAGGACCCAGAAACTCCCCGTCCTATCCGTTGGAAAGAGTTGACCAGGTCATACAGAACTTCAAATGGAACCAAGTAGCTCTGAGCCAAATCATGTGTAGAAAGGATCTTGAGAACATTATGCAATTCCCCATTAGCATCATAAACCTTTTTGGAAGCAGTCTAAGAATGGGATCTATTTTGTAAGATCAGCATATAATGCAGCCCAGAAGAAAAGGAAAAGAAGTTAGAACAGAATGTAAATATGGCTGAACCTAGCATGAAAGGACGGAGCTTCAAGATATGCAACTTCTTATGGAAGCCTAATATCAAACATAAGATTAAGTCATTTATTTGGAAGTATCTGCAGCAGATCCTCCCAGTCAACGCTGTAATACATAGCAGAACCAGGCAAGCAACCTAATCTGTCAAGGATACGGGGAAGGTAAAGAATCAATTGAGCATGCTGTTATTCTTGGCCCTGGTGCTGAAGCAATATGGGAATGCTCTCCAGTTATCCGGGATGGACTAGGAGAGCAAAGAGGCAATTTTTGGGTAGGGTGGAAGAAGCTGAAAAGGAGCTACAAGCAGAAAAGAGAACTCAGACAAATAGCAATCACAACTAACATTCTGTGGCAAATTTTATTAGCAAGAAGATCAATTTTAAAACTCGCAGATGAATGCTATAATTTATGAAGATGATGCAGCAAGTTATCACTGAGTGGTCGAAATTTTAAGGTTTGACAATAAAAAAGCTGAAATTATATTATGCAGCTCAGTAGAAGACAGTGAGGACAACCATTGGAATCTTCCCCCCATAAATAACATTAAAATCAATGTAGCTTCAAAGAGCCACATTGGTAAAGGAAAAGCGGGTAGGGCAGTTGCAAGAAACGGGAGAAGTGAGATAATTACTGCCTGGACAATCAGTGGCCATATCTGGAGGAAAAAGGTGCAGATGAAGTCAGCTAGGGCAATCAAATTAAGCCTCACCAAAGTTCTAGAGGAAAGATTGCAGAATGTAATCATTGAAGCAGATCACAAGCATGTTATTGACAAACTACTGAGGCACGATAGAGTTCTCCCATGTGAGTAAAAGTTCATGCATGAAGTCATAGAGTTGCTTTGTTTGCAACAGAACTAGGAAAGAAAATTAGATGGAACAATTATCTTCCCGCGATTAGTTGAACAACCACAAGTAGACCTTGGGCAGTTGCCTACCACCTTACTACTAAAAAATTAATGATTCCATTAATATCTAAAAAAATATTTATAATAATTTAGAGAAAGTAACAAAAAAAAAAGAGAATCTATAGGATGGATTCATATAGGTTCTATCCAAATGATTATTATGTCTGCATTTAGAGAAGGGTCAAATACTCCTATAAATCTTGCTATAGTAGATAATAGAATAAAGAATAGGGAAAAAACTACATTTTGTATTTTTAGAGGAAATCTTAAATATCAAAAGTTAATTTTTAATTTGACAGAACACTTTCCTTAATACAAGATTTTAAAAGAAAGAATTTCCTTTTCAATGGAAATAGATCATATTCTATTACATATATGATTTCTTATGCCTTATCAAATCCTCATCATACTAGAGACTTTTCGAAAACTGAATTCATAGATCTCCCTAAATTATTTTCCGAAGTAGGAAAAATATATCCTCCAAAATTACTAATATAAAATATAGAAATAGATCAGAATTTTAATTTAGATATAAGTCAAAAACCCCTACTACATAAACCAAATACATTTTTGCCAAGATCATCTTATACACTGCAAAGTTATTTACACTCTGTTAAAACAATGTTGACGTTTTGGTCAAAAAACAAGAAGAATGTAAATCAATTCTTCAATAAGAAAAATCAGGGTAAGATAACTTGAAACAGTACGCAGCCAATACATGATATAAACTTCTCCAATGGGCAACTATTTTGCACTATTGGAACTGGAACTTCAAAGACCTTACAGAAATTGTTGCAAATTTTCGGAGATTTACATTACATTATAAGTCACAGGCAGCATCTTTCAAGAGTTGATACAACATAGGGAACTTTTCAGTAGCTAAAAGAGTTCATATTGTAAAATGGTATTCGCATAAATCCAACAGCAATGACCTTTACAAGGCACTTAGTCAGCCTAGCGAGTTCAAAATTGCCAAAATTGCCTAATGAAGTCATAATTAGTGATTACAAGCCGAAACTATCACTGTGCAAGGATCTAATACAGGGCAGCAATATTTTAAAATGATCCTTGCTTAAATTAAATAGAATAATTCACCTTGCATTCCAGTCAAGGTAAGAATTGCCAGCTCATACGCCAATAAGCTGGCAGCAACTATCTCAAGGTAACTGGCCGTGGTGACGAGCTTCATCCAGCTCCGAGGATTGTGAAATTCAAGGTAGCACGAAGGACGGCATGGTTGAAAGATGCTACATATCTTCAAACAACGTTGAGTAACCTTCGCTTTGGCTGAAGAAAAACAAGATCCAACCACCAAGTCAACCCAAAGCAAGAAGAAATTTGCAAAACAAGATCATGAGCTGTAGTAGTACATCAAGAAAAAAATGAATAGACCTAATGAAAATGTAGGATAGTGGCAGAGGATATGGGCAGCTTAAGAGAAAAGGTTGTGTATTGTTTCTGATTTTAGTTAACCCTTTAATCAATCTGAACAGAGGCGTAAAAGCATGACAACCAGATGCATATTGCATAAAACATAGCACCAAGTTATGTATTAAAAAAAGAAGAAGAAGAAGAAAAAGGGAACAGATAAAACAGCTACTTGGTAAAGAAGAAAGTATACGTAATGCATTCACTAGAAATTGTCAACTGACATAATTTAACTTAACATGTAGCCAATTAATTTTGCACTGAGAACTGACCAAGAATCCAAAAGAAATTGAGCAGGTTCTGGAACCAGAAAGGTTGCAGCCTTATTCAAATTAATGATAATTAGGTGAGGAAACTTTCCAGACAGCCCCTAAACTATTGTCTCTGTACAGTTTTGGCCCCTAAACTATAAATTGTCACAAATAAGCACTTGAACAAAAAAAAAATGCTTAGTTTAAGGACTTCCATCAATTTTGGCCATTAGAGGTGATGGAATTAGGGGCAAACCTGACCAAACAAAAAAAATTAACCCACGAAAACGACCTAAAAGGCCTCGTTGACTGATTATTTCATCAAATAAGGGTTAAAGAAGGTGGAAGATCAAAAAAGAGGAAGAAACATTAAATTTCATGTTATTAGTTGACTTAATATAGTTGGTTTCTTAACCAAATTGTAGGTTGGTTTTTATGTTTGGTCAGTTTCGCCCTTAATTCCGTTAAATTTAACCCCCAAAAATTGACGGAAATCCTTAAACTAAGTTTTTTTTTTTTTTTGGTCAAGGGTTTATTTGTGACAATTTATAGTTAAGGGGCCAAAACCGTGCAAAGTGGATAGTTTAGGAGCCTGCCAGAAAGTTTCCTCTAATCAGGTCCAAGTTCATGTTAGTTCAAATAGTCCATTTCCTTGGCTGCCTAAGCTGCTGCTATTTCCAGGTGCAATCAAAGTTGGGATTACACATCATAATGGGTTTAAGGTACAATGGTCCAAAATATCATCTAACATCAAGCAAAAAGTTACAAGCAGGCAATGGCTATTATCCATTTCCACCAACATTAAATTAAGTTTTAGTTCTAGCATTGAGAAACACCAGCACATAGCGTAGCAATAGATGACAACAAAGTCATGAGATACTTAAGAAATAACTTTTTCACAAGGTTGCTAAATAAAGGTACACTCTTAAGGCATGAAAGTTAAGATTATTTGCATCCAATTAAAAAACCAGAAGAGACATTGTGACCAATGACACATAAAACTGTGCACCAAAGAATATACAGTAAAGGACTCATGTACAGCAAGATTACTGCTCTTCATATTGTTATTAAAATTATGATAAAGGGAGGCACAGAATGCATGCACACTCAACAGTTCATTTTCAACATATAGCTATATAATATTAGAAGTAAAAGCTTTGCTAGTGAAAAACAGAGTACTTACATATGTCTTTTCAACCTCTTCAAGAAATTTCTCAGGGTACTCAATATAGGTAAGACAATCTTTCTTCACTGTAGCTATAAGTTCTTTTTCGCCAGATTTTTCAAGGTTCTTTATCAAGATCCTGAATGTTAGCTTGTCAGGAATACAACCTGATCCCTTCATTGATTCATATGACTCCATTGCCTTTTCTATCATTTTGGCACGGAAATATGCTCCAATCATCTCAGTGTATGTTCTGGTGTCAGGCCTTAGGCCTTCTTTCTCTATCTCACCAAAAAGCTGTTCAGCCATTTCAATATTGCTACTCTTTCCCAACATCAGGATCATGTCACTGAAAATAGATATATCCGGTTCATACCAAACTTCTTTTCTTGCAAAATTAAACACCTGAGTCCTGATTACTTTTCAGATAATGCACATTTAAAAGGGAAAAAAATCAAGCCAAAATAAGGAGACATGTTGGGTTGAACTTTTTGCTCTGTTAAACGTAAACTATTTCTCTAAAAGCACAACTTTTACCATATGCCATAGCAGCTAGAGAGAGCTGAAGTGCCATTTCATTCAAAAGTTTCATTATGCAACTATAAAAAAATGCACTAAAGTCAAGTATAACCACCTAGAGAACAGATGATAGACAATGACCTGTAGTGTTCATTATAAAAAGGCATTCCTTGTTTTCAAACTGGAATCAGAAGACACTAATGTAACAAAAGAAAGGCATTTAGCTGTCTCTAGCTACCAATCTGATTCTCTCAAGTTTCATTAATAGACGCAAAGTACTGTGTCAAAAAGCATGAATGACTTGTGTGGGAACATGAGTCTACCTTAATAAAGAAACTTTACATGACATTACCATATCGTACAATCCCCACAATTTTCAATGTTAGCTAAAGTCCATCTCTAAGCTTACAAGCATCTCTTATGTCTTCAATCTAATGCAGATCAGGAAGTCAGGCAAACCTCTAGTTTTGGATTTTCAACTGCTCTTCACTAGAAAATTGGTATAGGCATAATTCTACTGTTACTAGGAGACTTTCCAGAAACCATCTACCACAGAGGTGGATAGGAACTGATTCTGTTAGTATTAAGACAAAATTCACAAATGACTTCACCTTGACCTATTGCACTACATCCATCACGCAAGTCTCACAGACAAGAAAAAAATTAAAATCACAATCATGTTCACTAGATTTCTTATCTTCATCTTGACACTATCAGCACACAATTAACTGCAATCACAATTTTCAGACCACCATCCTAACAATAGGAGTTATACAGTTAACTTATTAATATTTGCTAAACTTCCCAACATCATTAAAATCTGGTTCAAATAAGACATCCATAATTAAAAGCACCGTCAAAACAACCATTTTTCACTGCACATATATGTGACACATAACTGACACATAAAATTTGAAACATAAATTCTGAAATTTAAAATGCTCAAAGCTCAGAAACTGTTAAGAAACTGGCTATTTTTTTCTTTATTTCTGTTCCGTCTTCCTTAATCTTTTGGTCACAGAAAATGCATGTTTTTCCGAAACAAAAATGATAATGCCCACAAAATTCAACTATTTCTTCAACCCTTCAATTCTTTTCGCATCAAATTCCACAATCCCTTTACAAAATCCAATCAACCCCACGAAACCGAATCAAAAGAAAACAGTCACGACTACATATGTATACATTTACCTGAAGGGCTAATTCTACTTCGTTTTGCCTTTGCAGCTCTGATAAAGTATCCAACAAGTCAGCCTTCAGAAGCCTGCTTATCCTATTAGCAAAGACCTCTGCTAATTTGTCTGGAGATCTTGCTAATTTCAAAGACTGGACAGCTTGTATGGCTTCCGGAGACAACACCCTTGACCTCCACATTGGTTTTCTTGGTCCAATCTTTCTCAACCCACATGTGATTTTTAGCCTTGATGATGGCATAGGCAGATTGGAAAAAGAGATATTGAAGCTTCGTTGCAAACCCACTTGAGGAATGCTCAATTTCAGTGAATCCATGGAAGCAATACGGCAGCTGGAAACAGGGAGAAACAATTGGTTTCGCTCTTTTTCTTTCTGTCTTTCTTTCGTTTATTGCTATTGTATTTCGCCGTTTCTTTCCTGGGGTCTAAGGTTAATTGCAATATGCACCCCGGAGTTGCCGTTAGCTTGAATTTTAATGCGTTAAACTATTGATTATAGCACTTACACTCTTTGTAAATAATTTGTAGTAACAATAGTTGTGATAACGAAATTATTTTTATCTAATATAACAGGTAAAAACACTTTTAATAATTATTTAATTACCTATTGGACTGGTCACATAAATAAGATAATACCTAAAAATTTGGTTAGTAAGTTTCATATAAAAAATAGTAAGTTAACTCGATAAATTAGTAATTTTTATGTTTCAAAAAATAAATTGAAATAAATATGGAACTTATTTTTTTAAAAATAAATAAATTACTGCTCTATATCCGAAACTTACTTTTTGGAGAATAAGTTTAGTTCAAACAATAGTAAGTTTTTATAGATTAATAGTAAATCTTGTTGATAGAATAGTAAATTTGGTTAATGGTCAAAACTTACTAGTTTGTGATATAAAGTTACTATTTTACTTTAAAAAATTTATATGCAACAAGTATTAGGAAGTTTATTTGAAATAATGCTAAGATTTTTTTATTAATGACTGAAACTTAGTACTATAGTTAGTAATTACCCGTAATGTAAATGTATGATACACAATTGTACGTATCATTTATAAATGTTATATGTTTTAAATATTTTAAATATACTATGAAAACTTTTTTTTTTTTTTGCACATGAACTTATAAAATATGTAAGAATAATTTGTCATATTATAAATTTTGAATTATTTTTGAATTTGTGAAAGGTTAAAAAGTTTGGATGACAATAACAACAAATTTTTTGAGTTATATATAGAATTGCACTTATTTATACATCACAATTTCCATATATTAATACCTATGAATAGAATAAAATGTTAAATTTTTAATAAATTTATTTTCTGGGCCACAAGTATAAAAGTTAAAGTTGTATTACAATAGCAACAAATCTTTGGAGTTGTATATAAAATAGCACTTATACATCACAATTTTCATATATTAATACCTATGAATTTAATAAAATGGTAAAGTTTTAATAAATTTATTTTCTGGGTCACAAGTATAAAAATTCAAGTTGTATTAGTGTAGCATAATCTTTGAAAATTATAGTAAATTTACCCAAATGTTAAGTTCCATGACTTTCAAATATACTTTGTATCATTTACATTATGGATTTGTATGCATATTTTTTCTATCAAACTCCTTTTCTATTAGCAAATGGTATGTAAATTATTATAAAATGTCATTTTCTAATAATCATAATTTTTTATAGGTGAATGTTATGTAAACTACTAAAATTATTAATTCACAAATGACTAAATCTTACTACTTTATGGCATACATTAGTCTAATCGACTAAAAAATTATTGTAATCATGTGTACGTTGATTTCTGATTTGAAATTTGCACCACTATCACTATTTCCTTTATTACTAGTACAAGTTCTTCTAATCAAAGTAAAATAACATCAAATATCTTTTCCTTTTGCATGCAGTAGTTTTGTTTAGCAGAAAATTAGTAAACCACTTTTACAATACATAATTTCTCATGAAATTAGTAACATTTTCTATGACCTATAACCTCATCAATAATACTAACCACCGACATGCAGATAATCTGAAGAGCAAAAGCCATCGATATGACAAAAAAAGAATATTTTCTTGCTGAATATAAAAAAATTGCGATTCTATGTAGAATCGAAGAAATTCATCATGAATGAGAATGAATTGCAAAGTTATCACATTTCTAATTTCATATGCATCTAGAATTTGACACATCATTACTTTAGAGGAACTCTCTTTTTTCACATTTTTTCACATTTTTTTTCACATTTTGTTTGGGGTTAACTCGTATTAATTCTTGTGTCCCAGATGTAAATTTATTAAAACTTTATTATCTTATTATATTCATAGGTGTTAAATTATAAATATTGTGATATATAAACAAGTGATATTCTATATTTAACTAGGAAGATTTGTTGTTATTGTTATCCAAATTTTCAACCCTTTTAAAAATTGAAAATGATTAAAAACTTATGATATGACAAATTTTTATTACATATTTTAAAAGGTTATGTGAAAAGTGAAACTACTTTTCATAGTATTTTAAAATATATAAATACAAAAAAAATTTAAATTATACCTATTATCATGTATTATGTAGGTATATTATGAGTACTTACTAAGGTACTAAGTTTTAATCATTAATAAACATCTTATCGTTATTTCAAATAAACTTCTTAATACTTGTTTGAGATAAGTTTTTAATGTAAAATAGTACATGCGTTTCATAAATCAATAAGCTTTGATCATTAATCAAATTTACCAAGTTATTAGTAAGAATTACTATTTATGTATAAAAACTTACTGTCACTTGAACTAAACTTACTATCTAAAAAGTAAGTTTGAGATATAAAGTAGTAATTTATTTATTTAAAAAATAAGTTTAATATTTATTCCAATTCACCTTTTGAGATATAAAAGTTACTAATTTATTACCGTTAACTTACTATTTTAGATGAAAAACGTACTTCCTATTTTTAGGTGTTATCCTATTTAAGTGGATATGTCCAACAAATAATCAAATGGTCATTAAAAGTACAACAACTTATTATATCAGGTAAAAACTGTTTCGTTACCATAACTATCGTTACTAAAGCATTGTCCCTTTCCTTCTTTTATTGCTATTGTATTTCGCCGTTTCTTTCCTGGGGTCTTAGGTTAATTGCAATATGCACCCCGTAGTTGCCGTTAGCTTGAATTTAAATGCGTTAAACTATTGATTATAGCACTTACACTCTTTGTAATAATTTGTAGTGCAGCGCTTAAATCAACTTTGACAGGTTGTCGTAGCCTATGCAATAATAATAAAAATAAACCTAATTGCCAATTAAAATAACCAAAACCCGATTCCAAGTACTGGAGCAGGGACTCTAGGTGTGCAATGGGTTACTTGATTTACCCTATTCCCGAAGAGTTTGCTTGATCCAATATACCCGAATGGGATGGCTTTTTCACAAATAATTATTAATTTGTAAACAGTGCAAGTAGGGTCGTATTTTCAGAGATTGGGGAAAATTCGTTTCTTTTTAAACCACAGTAACAAGAGGGTGTTTTTGTATAAAGGATGACAATTAAAACAATTTAACTAAAAATAAAATAGCCAACTAAAAATTAAATGACAATTCACTAAAATCAGAGTAATAATAATTAAAGGTCTAGACAAGAAATAACTTCAGCAATGGTTCACCTAATTGATCATCGATGCACAAGCAATTCCAATTATTTATTAATAAATAGGTTATAACTGCCAAACAAGTGATGACAGTCAACCCCTCCTTACTGTGTCGGTGATTAAGGTACGCCGTTAATCACTGCTCTAATTGAGAAATAATCCTTGGTACGCTCGTAAGATTTAATTCCCCAATTGCCTTACGTATTAGAGAAACTCCATTCTAACTAAATAACGTACTACCAGGGTTATTTTAAATTAACCCGCGTATTCCCCCGACACAAATCCAATCATACCAGTTGTCACTATTTCAAGGCAATTAAACAATTACGGATTTAATACCCTAGTTGACAATAGATTACCAAATTAACTAATTATCCGAATCCAAAACAATCGATTAATTGGACAACCATAAGCATTGTAATCAAAGAATATGCGAATACCAATAAATAAAAGAAAAAAATAAAATTAAATCCATCTCACAATTTTTAGGCGAATCAAAATATCCGTTGTTCCTTGACTAGACAAAGGGGATTTAGTTCATCCCGGATGCAAAAAACCCACACACAATTGAAGCAATAGTCGTTCGAGTTACCAAGGAAAAACAAAGCTACATGAGGTAAAATCTGGTCTTCGCTTTTCCTACACATACAGAAGAAGAAAAGCAACTAGAAGCCGAAAAGAAAAGTCAAAGTTCTCCAATTTGCTCCTGACATGCGTGAACTGAAGCTATCCCAAAAGCTACCAAAAAAAAGTCAACAAAAACAACTCAAAGTCATGCTAATTGTCTGCCCTATTCTCTATATCAATCTTCCTATCTAATTCTCCTTTTTTCTTGCGACGGCCTACACCAGCCAAGAAGAAGACTCCAGCCTCATTTTTTTTCGAATGCCGTCTTTCACCAAAATTACAAAAAAAAGGGTCGCGTCTTGATGTTTCAAAAATACCCCTGGATGCCTGCTACTTAAATTCTTTCCTGATGATTGCCAAATTAGCACTTATTATGGTATTTTCGTTCTACTCCCTGAAATAAATGCAAATTACCAAAAGTGAGTAAAATCTAATAATTAATTCACATCGGATCAGGTAATAGGGGAAATTAATAATAAAATAAATGATAAAATTGCGACCTATCAATTCCCCTCACACCTAAACCATGCTTGCCCTCAAACATGATAACAACAAACAAATACCACTATTTAACAATGGTTATTGCTCTATCTACCATATTGCCAAGATACCAAGAAAAAACCACATATCAAGTATAAGTGGTCAAAATCCGAGAAATATCACCCCGATTAGCTTTTAAATCACAAACTCCTTCAATTCCATGTTAACTAATCTAAGAAAAAGAAATGGCGTACAACATTTATCAGCAAATGGTCTACTATTAACCAAAATCTCGACATTAAATTCATAAATTGGCAAACTGATTTATATCACACACCAACACAACCTTTACTTTTTTCTTTTCACGTTTTTTTCTTTTTTTCTTTTCCTTTTTTCAATAGCACAAAAAACTTAGTCTCTAGCCATTGGAGGCTCGTCAAACTCCAACATTTTCCAGATGGAGGAGTCCGGTTACTCAGCTCTTATTTCTATACGACCACGTACTCATATAAATTACTACTTTTTGACGTGAGAATCGACACTTTTGGTGAACATCCCCCAGTTACTCAGTAGTAATGACTAGCAGAGTACAGTCAACTTTATTTCACAGCCAGATAACGCAAT